GGCTTTCATTATTTTCAATGGGCCTTCAAGCCCATTGTTTCAAATGGGCAATCCTGTCATTCCCTTTAGTACATCCCTTCTGCTGGGCTTGTACCCACACACACACACACACACACACACACTACTTGGAGTGTGATTCTGTGCTTCACATCAGTCCTGTTGAGCTGGCATTGCCACACTGTGACTGGGTTCTGCTGGGCACTAGCACATTGCACTAGTTCTTCTGGGCTTGCACCCCTCTGCTTGGAGTATGATTCTGTGTTAGACATCAGTCCTGTTGAGCTGGCATTGCCACAATGGTACTGGATTCTGCTGGTCATTCTTTGATTGCACTGGTATTGCTAGGTGCTCTATAAATTTCACTGGTTTTGCTGGACTTGCAAAAATGCCCCTCTACCTTCAGGTTCTACTGTAGATATTTTCTGGGACTTTGATTCTGTTCTGCTGGGCTTCTATTGACCTTGTTTTTTCCTCCATTGGGGGCTCTTTCTTTGGGTGGCTGTAACTTGGACCCCATAAATCCAACCATCATCAAACTTGGAGGACAGGTAAAGGAGAGTCAGCTGGAGATCTCCTGCATGTTTGGTGTCTCTAGCATGCTGGGGAAGACATTCTACATGAACTGAACCAATTTGTTTAGCCCCTAAATGTCTGTGATGGTTTGTGGTTCACGAATTGGGCATGCCACAAACCACAAACCGAGCCACATTTTCCCGGTTTATGCCCATCTCTGGTACTGAACAGAGAAATGGCTTTTTCAGTGGAAGAATGGAATACGGGCATTATCTACTACTACTGCTTAGCACCAACAATGTTCTAAGTACAGAGTAAGCTTTAAATTAAGCTTAATCACCAATATTATGAAGTAATTTCATTAGACAGGCAAGAAATTAGTTGTTTCCTAGAAAAGAATGAGCACTGATCTAAATTGGGAGCATGAGCAGGCCAAAATTAAGCACATTTAAGTCCCATTGATGTCTTTGAGACTGTTCAGCACACTGTTAGCTCTTTCCCACTACATCTTTAATTACAACATCTTGGCTTTGGAACATGTGATTTTGGTATGGCTGGTGCCCAATATTATTTTTGCAGGAGCTGATTGACATAACTGATGAAAGGAATCGATCATGCTAAGAAGCAATGCATATGTTTGCAAAAACAGAGACAGAAAGATAGTTTAACATTAGTAAAATAAATGATGCTGCAATACAAAAATTAAACCACATTCCACAATGTTTTCAAATGTTTCAAACATGTTGGCATGTTTTTATCCACACATTTTTGTATCCTGCATGCTGGATAATACCATCTTTTTG